GTTGACCATCACTTAGGAAGGGAAGCATTTGGATATTGGATATAGAAGGGACTGGAAATTCAATTGTAAGTCCTACTGTCTTCAAAAAAGCTGAGTTTTGAGCTCATACCATAAGTTATATTCAAAAGATTTTGAAAACTGAGAATAGTAGATAATTTCCTCCAGGTAAAATACTTTGATGTTATTTTGCTAGTTTTGCATAATCATAAAAACTCTGTGTGGATAGGCCTCTGTGTATTCACAGACACACACACATACAGACTACATGTATATATGCACACCCACATAGGTGTGTCTACATGCATGCACAAGTGCGTGTGTGTATGTGTGCGTATTCTTGATTTGAGTTTTTCAGGTCAACACGAGCTCAGCGGCAGGGATGCTCAGCTCATGCAGATGTCCTGGTCTGATGGATGAAGAGGTCAGGGTTCAGTGTCTCATGAGCATCTAGGGCAGGCACTGGCATACCCTGGGGGGAATTCTATTGTACTTTATGAGAATTCAAAAGGCATTAACGTGGCCCCTCGTTGCAAAGCCCACGCTGAGAGGGACTTACTCCCTGGGCCTCTGCAGCGTGGGGTAATTGTGGGGCGGCCCCTCAGCAGCTGCCTCCGGCCTGCATTATGCCATTAGCCAGATTCACTCCAGGATTCCTTGGAAACCGTGTGCCTCCCTGAATTATTTATTACCCAGCGATCAATTATTCATAACTCATTATTACAACTGATATAAATCCTAAAGGTAGAATCATTTTGCCACTTATGAATATCCAACAGATCGTCAGGAGGTGGCAGGGGGGTTTTAAGTCCTTGGGTGCCCACTGCCTGTTTCTCTGAAGGGATTCCAAAGTGAACAGCCCTCTGAGAAAGAATCAGAATCGATGAAAGCAGGAACAAACGGCCTCCCGTTGGTCATGCTGCATTGGTTCATCTATTCACACTGTCTGTCTTTTTAATTCTGGCCTATTTACGCCTAGAAAGAAAACTTCAGTTTGAGATCATTTAGGAGACGTTTATAGCACCGTTGGCTCATTAAGCCATTCTTAGGAGTTACACAGAGTACAAAACTTGTCCTTAGAATATCTTTTCTGGGATAGGATGTCGTACCTTTAGTACATTTTCTAGGTACATTAGTCATGTTGCGTGTGCTTGTCCCATCTGAGTTGTATTTGATTCATTTATTGGCCCACATCTCTCATAGAAAGAGATGCCATGTTTGTCACATAGATAAAAAGCGTTTAAATAAAAGTACTGTGAAAGTGTAACTAAAAGAAGCCTGATTCCTTTTCAATTCAGGAACTGTAGTGAGAAATTACCTGGTTTAAGCCAGACTGGTTAATTTTTTTTAATATAATCTCCAAGCTTTTTAAGATCTCTGGAGAGTAGTCAGAGTGTTGGGCACAACGTGGGCTGTGCAGCTCGGGTTTCCCTTTGGGGGTTGGCTGTCCCTGGCCACCCTGGGCAAGGATGGGGTGTCGCGCTGTGCAGCTTCTCATCCCAGTTTCTTGTTCTACAACGTGGCGCTTTCTAGGTAGTCATTTCCAAAAGTAAGTCAGTACCCATTTTGAGCGGAAGAGTTGTAACTCACGGAGGTTACCACTGCCACGTTTAAAAAGCCCTCACCTGTAGATTAAATAAAACCCCAAACTGTTGAGCAAGCATTTTTTTAAAGGTTTATTTATTTATGCATACAAGAGCTGGGGTACAGGCCAGAGGTGCACGGGGTGAGAGGATTCACCAGAGACAGAGCGGGGAGCAGAACAGGCAGACTGACTGAAATACACTGCTGAGGGGAGCAGTGGGCGAGACAGGAAAGGTCTGCTGTGCCATGTGGGTTGCTCCCTGGCCGGCAGGGGATCGAACTTGTGCTGAGTATGAGTCAGGCTTGTGGCCTTGAGAGCGGTTATCAGTTATTCCCTAAAACGTTTAGTCTACATTGTGGCTTTATTTTAACATTAGTTTAGACCTTTTCCACTTCATTATCAGGTTTTCTCAGGGTTAATGTCGATTCTCCAAGAGGAATAAAGGCTAAATACTGAAGCAAGTTTGAATTGGCCTAAACCACTGGACTGTATACACGGGGTTTATGTTTACTTTGTGAGAATATTTGGGTAATTAAAAAAACCAAAACCTCAGGGCAAATATGACTGTCATGGAGCAGAGTGAAAAGTTTTGTATGATTTTTAAAGTTTTTTTAAAAGATTTATTTAATTTATGCATACAAGAGCTAGGGGTGTAGGGCCAGAGGGGTGTGTGCACGCATGTGTGTGTGTGTGTGTGTGTGTGTGTGTGTGTGTGTGTGATGATTCACCAGAGACACAGTGGGGAGCAGAACAGGTGGACTGAAATACACTGCTGAGGGGAGCAGTGAGCCAGACAGGAGAGGTCTGCTGCTCCATGTGGGTCAGCTTCCTGGCCAGGGATTGAACTGGTGCTGCAGGGGCTAGTGATGGCTTCATAGTGCTGAGACTTAACCCCTTGTGCCACCTGGGAGGCCTTGATTTTTGAATTTTTATTTTAATTTTGATAGGTGATATATTCATGTGGCTTAAAAATATATTCATGTATCTTGTCCAAAGTGTCTGCTCAGTCTTGTTCCCCTTTTCCTGAATTCTCATCCTCTTCTTCCAAAGGTAACACCTGTTGGCTGTGGCTCCTGCCAGAATTGCTTCATGCATATTTAGGCAATTCTGGAATAAAGATTTCTTATTTTTGCCACCCTTCCCATAAAACCTGGCATATTGCCCACTTCTGTTTCTTGCTTTTCTTCATTTGCCCAGATATCTTGGAGATCTTTCCAACTTGGAAAGATCTTTTAACAGTCATTCAGTGTCTTCCACTTTTGGCTACAGCATGTCTAGCCATTTCCTGTCAATGTAGTGTACATTGGGTTGTTTTTAATCTTTTGTTATTCCAATCACTACTACGGTGAATAATCCTGAACATTTGTGATTTCACAAACTTGCTGCTATTTCTTGTGTGAGTTTAAAAAGTAAAGCCTGAGCTTTCGGGGACGTTACCTGCTCTTGGCAGTACCATTCCGAGGGTGTGAGTTCATCCTTCTTTGCTGCTAGTGGTATTTTGTGGGAAAAGTAGGAGAAGCAATCCTATAAACTTGTTATTGAGGCCTCATGGTGGAATGACGTTTCACTTTCTGAAATAACTTTGCAGTGAAGGGAGAGTGACAATAATGTCAGTTTGCCATGCTGTGTTTGCTGGAGGGGATGTAAGAAAACCTGGGTAAATCTGGTAGCAAATTATTTATAAGCAAAAATCATGTTGTAAAGTTGTCTAGTTGGTTTGCAGGCTTTTGATACAATGAAACAGCTTTGAGTTTTTAGAACAGTTTTTAGAACTCAGTACCTTAAACCCTAACTCCCACCAAAGGCTATCAAATATTAATAGGCAGAGTACATAAAGGGAAGGTTCCATGATTAAACACTGGGTTCCACAAAGAGAAACCAGTTTTTGCTGAGGGTCTCTGGGATAAATTATGACTCTCCAAGAGCTTTTCCCAAAGTTCACCACTGAACTCTTTTTTTTTTTTTTTTCCAGGCCACTCTGGTTAGCTCTAATCTACTGGGGGGTCAACTCGGGAAATAGTACCCATGTCAGATGCCATGTTGAAATTAGTCATAAGTAGATGTTCACATTTACAAAAGATTCAGTAAGGGGGAGAGAAAGGAAAGTCACTATTTTAAACCTGACCATCATGAACAGCAGATGGTGGTCACGTAATATGCAGGCCAACTACTCGGACATGGCAGTAATTCCAACGACAGTATTGTCACTGTCCATACTGTCATCTTAACTTAATTCGAGTCTACCAGTATTCTAATTTCACTGGCTAAGTAAATAAAAGGCTAAAAATAACTTCTTCCTAGGAAAGCACAAGTTGGCTAAGGAATAAATTTGGAGAAATCTTTTTCTGTCTTCACATTCCATTTAACTGGTGTGCAATAGGTCTGGTTTTTCTTGCCGTCTATCCATTAGGTAGATGTTCACTAGTTTAAGTGTACACAAAGGGGGATGCTGTCTCTCACTTGGAAGAAAAAGCCATCATGTAACCACATTCAACTCTCTCTTGTGCATGAAAACTGGCAAAGAGCAGTTTTAGGCTGCCAGACACAGAACAGCCACAGCCATTATCCTCCAGGAGCTGACATTTGGGCTGAAAAGAGGATGTGAATGCAAATCTGTCTCTATTAGGAGGGCCAATGGGGTGAGCGAGATCAGGGTCTTTTAGAGCTGAGATACCCGGGCCACTTCTAGTCTTTCCAGGTCTGTTAAAGGTAAGACTGTATAAAGCAAAAATCGGGTTATGTCTTTAATGTTTGTATTTAGCAACAAAACAGGTGATACACAAAAATGCAATGCCATGGGATTATACTACTTACATGATAATTATAGGATTATTGAACATTTTCATTCTTGATGTATTACGCTTGGGGTGGCCCAGTCATGGGAAGTACATTTCAAGTTGTGTGGTAAACACCTTTCAGAGCTGTCAGTGTGTCTGTGACAGAGCTTGGCTTTGAGATCTTACCAAGGTTCGGCTTTGTATGTGTTCTTGGAAAATTGTCTATTCAGGCGTTCTGTCCATTTTTCAATTGGATTTTGTTGTTATTGAGTTGTACAAGCTCTTTATATGTTTTTCTTTTCTTTTTTAAAAATTAATTAATTAATTTATACAAGTACTAGGTATAGTCAGAAGCACGGGAGGGTGAGAGAATTCACCAGAGCCAGAGCGGGGAACAGAACAGGCAGAAGGACCGAAGCACACTGCTGAGGGGAGCAGCGGGCGGCAGGAGAGGTCTGCGTGCCATGCGGGAACCTCGTCCGCAGCTGGGGATCAAACCGGCGCTGTAGAGGCTGTGGGCAGCATCGCAGCCCAGCGCTCAGCCGCTGCACCACTGGGGAGGCCCCCTTTATATGTTTTTCAATATTAACACCTTCCTGGATATATGATTTGTGAATAAGTTCTCAAATATTCAGTGACTATTCAGCAGGTTTGCTTTTCATTTTATTGATGGTTTCCTTCACTGCACAGAAGGCTTTTAGTTTGATGTCAGTCTCTTGGCTTATTTTGCTTGTGTTTCTCTTGCTGTTGGAGTCGGGTTCAAGAAAACATCAGTAAGACGAAGGAGCTTACTGCCTGTGTTTTTTTTTTCTAGGAGTTTTATGATTTCAGTTCTTACCTTCAAATCTTGAATCCATTTTGAGTTTATGTTTACACAGGGTATAAAATAATGGTCCAGGTTTGTTCTGTGGCATGTGGCTGCTAGTTTTCCCCCATGATATAGTCCTGCTTCCTTGTCATCTGGGCACCCAGTGTCTGCCTTGAGAGAAGATAGCAAAGGGGTTCAGAGCGGTGCCTTCTCCATCTTGAAAGATGCAGTCATGGGGGATGGGGGCAGGCACCCCCTTCTCGCCCGTGGCCCCCAGTTGCAGGGAAAGCAATACCCACTCTGGGTCAGGGCTGTGTAGACACTGAAGAATCCTCCATTCAGGTGCAGAGCAGAAGGCTGCGGGTGGAGTATCTGGATGTTGCTTCTCCGTTGTGTCTGATGGAACAAACCCCGCTGACTCAGCTCCATCACTTGATATCGCAAAGCCACTGTCACAGTTCCCTTGTATGACCTACACTATCGGACAGACAGGAAAGGAAAATCACCCCAGCCTGAGATCCCAAGACCCTCACATCCTACCTGCTTCTCATAGAGACATCTGTGCAGGCGATAGGGTTGCTCCTAGCTACAGCCGAGGTTGCTGAGGAGAGGTCAGAGCCGAATCTAAGCAGTGCTGGGGAACGGAGAACTTCCAGAAGATTTCCTGCCTCTCCGTTGAGGGTTTAACCACTAAATTTTGAAAATAAAATCTGTAATTGATAGAGAATTTGATTTTCTTTTGTCTTAATTTTCTTTCTTTTTTTTTTTTTTAAAGATTTATTTAGTTATACAAGCACTGGGTACAGTCAGAAGCGCGGGAGGGTGAGAGAATTCACCAGAGCCAGAGCAGGGAACAGAACAGGCAGACTGACAAAGAAATACACTGCTGAGGGGAGCAACGGGCGCGACAGGAGAGGTCAGTCGCGCCATGTGGGACCCTCACCAGTGGCCGGGGATTGAACCGGCGCTGTAGAGGCTGTTGCAGCCCAGAGTTCAACTGCTGCGCCACCAGGGGAGGCCCTGTATTAATTTTCTTAATTTCAATCAGGTAGAAAACTGATTAAAGTTTCTGAAATTGTGGGATGCATAAAGTAAAATTCCATAAAACTAATAATCCCTTTTGTCCAAGAAAATTGTCTTTTTATAAGCTGTTCCCCATTAATAATAGCATAACTTTTGCTTGGAAATAAACAAAGCACTTCAAGAGCATTATTACATTTGATTTCATACTGGTTCTAATGAGGAGGCTTCCAATGAAAAGGTTTTTAATAAGTTCCATGTAAGCTACAAGGAATTACTGATCTGTAGTTCAGGATAACTGTTAACACTGAAAATATGTTTTCAGATAATTTTAAGGACAAGCATTATTTTTCTTGGTTCTATAAAAAGTATACTTTAGCTTATCAAGACTACCTTGAATTGTTTCAGTTTGACTTCAAGGTATTTTTTTTTTTCAAACTAGAGATTTCAAACACAAGTGGAAATTTTATATAAAAGTACTTATTTTTATATAAGATTTTTAAAATATGCATTCTTGAAGAGTTAGGATAAAACTATTCTGACTTAATAATCACATTTCCCTGACCTGTTGGAATTTTAGAAGTATAACCCACAAGAAATAAAACCTGACTTTGGAATGCAATAAAAATCCCATCAGAGAGTCTCAACCTTCCTTGAAGGTCTGTCACTGTGTGTTTAATTCTTCCTTTTAGGAACTGAACCAAATTAAAATCTCTCCTCATGTTGCAAGGTGTATGTGTTTAATGGGGCTTGTATCAAAGTGTGCACACAGTTGATTCCCACTTGATTGACCTTTTCTACTGACTCTAGAAAGTTAATTTTTAAGTGGCCCCACTGGTGGGAGCATAGCTCTGAGCACCTGATTTGCATCAACAGCTATTTCAGTCTCTACAAATGTTTCAATGGCCTCCAACCCCTCCTATTTAAGAGCACTCCTGACATTGCTAGATGCAGGGAAGGCTACCTCACTTTATCCAGTGCTTAAGAGCAAAATTGGTTCTGTGGCCAAGAATGAAATTGGTTAGCATAGCAAGAGTCCATTACAAATAGCTTTTATGTCCAAATATTACAGGCAGGACAAGCTACATGATTTGCAGGGCCCAGAACAAAATGAAAATGCAGGGCCCGTTGATAAAAAACTAAACATCTCAAGCCAATGACAGCAGAACATTAGACTCAGTGCAGGGCCTGTCTTGTCATTGAGCCCGGGACTGCAAATGTCCCACGTTTAAGGAGCCGGCCTTGAACATGGCACTCGCGGGTATTGCAGGGGGCGAGGCAGGTAAAGTCTCCCCATGAGTGACAGACCTGTGGCATCGCTCAGTAGCAATAAAAGTAGATCTATATTGAGTGTCTAAAAATAATTAGCAAGGTGAAGTCACCTTGTTTGAACAGCTCTTTATCACCTCACATGGAATCTTAGACATAAAGGTCCCGGAGGCCGTGTTTAATGAGAGGAAATATGCTTTGTCTCATCACTGTTAACTGGGTTTCCTTATTTTACTCATCGAGGCAATTTGTGTAGCTTCTGATGACTAACAGAGCTGAAGTTTACCTGGTAAAGTGTCCTCTGGGGTAAAAGAGGACAGACTGAGAGCAGGTGTTGTCACTTACTCCATTTACCTTCCTCACTTTCTCTGTCACCTGAGAACAAGTGACTCTAAAGCCCGATCTCTCCTTTCACCCGTTATGAAGCCTCTTATTCCCAGGGTCTAAAGGAAATCTCCATTTCAATAGCTAGACAATGTCTGATGTTTAGGGAATCAACTGGAAAATATCCTTTATATTTTTTTCCTCGTCCACTGCTGGTTCTTTTTTTTCTCCTTAAGATGGGTAAATAGTGTCGCATGTGTTTGCCTTCTTTGCCCACCACAGGCCTAACCACCTGCCAACCCTTCCTCAAGAATCACCCAGATTTATCTTCATTCTCCATGGTCACCTTATTTTAGCCTCTTGAAACTTCAAATCTGTAGTAGTTTATTGGCTGGTAGGCTCCTCTACTCTCTCCTCAAGCTCATTTTTCAAAATATTACTTTTCTCATGTCACTTGCTTGCTAAAGATCTTACAGCTCTTGAATCCGTCCTGTCAGACAGAATTTAAATTAAGCCACACATTCAAGGCATTGTGTCGACGGGACCTCTCTATCTCTCTGAACCGTATTAATCATTATTCTCCAACACCGCCAGTCTACTTCTCTCTGTGCTGATAGGGGAGAGAGAGTGCAAAGGCATTTTAATTTTAGCCTTTCATACAAAAGATTCTCTAGTTGGGACACAAAGGCTGCAAAATGTCCTTTCCGGTGAACAGAGCCCTGGGGCTAAGGGAGAGCTGCCAAGTGCCCTCTTCGCCTTAGTTGGGCGGCCAGGCACAAGTTAACCCCACAACACTGCTGCATAAGGCTCTGCACACACTGCTGTCAGCTTAAACTGTGCTACCTTGGTTATGGGGAACCCCATATTTGCTGCCTGACTACTTTTGTATGTCTCGTGCTCACCTAAAATGTAAGCTCCTAGAAGGCGTACCTTGAGCCCTCGAGGGTTTTTTTCCCTCACATGCCCTATGATGCCCAGTGTACCTGTTGAATTCATCCATTCATTATCAACTGAGTTATCCACGATCAAACTGTGCACTCTACAGTCTGGTGCTCTGGACCTGGATTTAAGCAGCAGTATGTGCATAGGAAGGCCTCTAGTGGTAGCAGCGACAGCAGGATGGCGTTCCCGCGGCAACAGTGCCCAGGGCCCAGCGCCAGCCACCAGGCAGGGAAGCTGTTCCTACTCTCATCCTCCAGACATGCCTGGTGAATCTGTGACTGTCCCATTAAAGTTGTAATGAATTCCTTTATGGCATTAGTCAGCCAAATGGAACCAAGTTTGGAACCAAGAAACCCGATATAGAACAGATTGCTTTTTAGCAGTCTTCAAAATAAGATAGCTTACGTGGATCTGGTAAACTCTATTTTTCCCTCTTTTTCAGAGATGTAGGGAAAAACATCCAGAGGCAAGAAAAGCATACATATTCTCTTTCGTTGGCGACTCAGAGTCCCTTTTAGATATGACTAATACCAGGCTATGTTATTTAATCACAAGGCAGAATATATAAAATTTAGTGGAATCTACCAGGTTGAGAAATGGCAACGTTTCCTTCAAGGACCTTGTGCTACCCTACAGCTGACTGAACTATCACTCTCCGTTATCTCAACTGTAAAATGGGGATAATAAGGATGACTCCACATAGTTGTAAGTATTAAGTGAACTATGTGCATTCATTTTCCTAAGTGGTTGTTATTTCAAATACATTAGTTCTGTCCCTGAAGTGTCTCTGTTCCATGTGCAGCCTGATTTTGAGACCCTCCAACATCTTAATCATCATTCCTTGGGCTAAGTTTGGTGACAAAATTCCCTGTGGAATGAGGTTTCCAGGCCTGAACACAAGGGGCCTGCTGGAACCAAGTATAATATTCCTAAAGCCTTTTCTACATTTCAAAAGAAGCGTGGAGTCTCAGGAGCCCTTTTAGCAGTCACGGCTTCGTGTGGTCTCACACTGAATTTGGGGAGACAATTCTTCCCCGTCCCACATACCACCTGCGCAGCTTTTATAGATGGGCTGTTCTACTCTCCAGGTTTCACTCATCTTAGATGTGAGGATTTGATTTTCCAGGGTAGTTCCCAGTTCACATTTCAGCTTCGTCAATCACTTGGAAAAATGGACTCTGCCTATGTCTGTTGCTCACGCTGCTTGTGTCTGTGTCCTCGGCAGACCTGGTCGCTGTGTCCTGGGGTCTTCATCCCAGCCATATAAAGCATGGGTGAAGGTAGTGTTAGGGATAAGTCCTGACAGCATGACCTGCAAAGCATCCAAGACCACGGCTCCAGCGTGTTTGGTCCACATGAAGGTTGAATCTCTCCCATATCAAGAGATACCACGAGACTTCTCAGTGACATCTGTTAACATGATGTAAGGGCCGGACTGGGCACAGTGCAGGTTTTCTGATCCCATGCAGACCGGGTAAAGGAGGAGTCAGAGTCCTCAGTAGTTTTGCAGGTTTTTTATTTGGGGTTCACCAGGCATATGGCAGGCAGGGGTGCAGGCTGGGGGGCTGGGAGGCTGGCAGGCCTCCCAGCCCCCAGCAAGTCTTCACTCTATCTGAGCTCTCTGGAGTTCGTTCTGCTGCTTCTCGGCTTCTCTTTCGGCTTCTGCTTCGGCTTCTGCTGCTGCTGCTGCTGCTGCTGCTGCTGCTGCTGCTGCTGCTGCTGGCGTCCCCCCGTGACGCCGCCCTTAAAAAGCACAGTCTTAGCTCAGCTGAATCCCATCTACCTATGCCCACACCCTATTCCAGGTGCCCGCCATCTGGCATGCATTCAGGACAAGGATCCATCATCTATCCTGATGGTGGAAGGGCAGAAAAGCCTGACATTCTCTTTACCCTACACGTGACTTCATAAAGATGGGCTGAAATCATGATATACCATGACTGTTTGCTTCTCTGATCTCCCAAGCAAATAACCCTCTCACAAAAAGAAATGAGGCTAATTTAGTATGACTTAGTCTCTATAAACACATGTGAGCCCCTACTGGCCACAGTTTCATGTTCTAAATGCTCACAAGCCATCTGTTTCATCTTTGGCTCTTCAGCTTTGCCAGAGATTTGTGGCAGGCTTATTGGGCTACAATTTCTGCAAGATACTTTTAATGAAAGTTGCAACATGTGTTTTTTTTTGTGTGGGGTGATAGGAGTGCAGGAGAAGGAGGGCATCTCTTCCTTTTCCCCCAATAATTAAGATTATCAACCCGGGTGCAGAGAATATATCTTTGCATCGAGTTTGAGGTGTGCAGCTCTGACCCGCAAACTCAGGAGGCAGGGTCCCCTAGTCATGAAGTGTCGTGGAGTCAGCAGTGGGGGCTCTGGTTCATTATGACTAAGTGCGGTTTGCAACTTAACTGTATCTCAGTTTCTTCACTGCAGAAATGAGGATCAAAATGGTCTCTGGCACAGAGCAGATGCCACACGGCGCTTGTATTATCACAGTTGTTGCTACTTTAGTGTGGGTGCTCGATGCACAGGTGCTGAGTTGAGACATTGGACTTAAGGTCACAGTTGAGAAGCTAAATTAAGACATCCAAGTGCGTTATTCCACGTGTTCATGGTAAGTCTGGTTCCGATTAAATTCTGTTGAATAAGGTCCTCGAGGTCCTTGGTGACACCATGGCTTTGGGACTAAAATGAAAACTGGCTCAGAGATTGCAGTGCCCCCTCGTAATAGGCAAGAATCGCCCCCATGACATTGCCACCAATAACAGCCACAATAATAGTAGGACTAAGAGTCATGCGTTTCAGGAAGTTTGGAATTAAATGTAATGCTCAACGGTAGCAACAATTTTTGACAAGCATATGTGGGTGTTCCATTTCTGTTTCCATCTACTCTTGCTGGTCTCAGTTTTCTATTATATAAGTTATGGCAAATCCTCTGTGGAGTAAGGCTGACTATAAATACATTAAAGTAATAAATTAGGTAACGAGGAATGTCTGAAGGGTCAGTGAGCAGCTGTACCCTATCACTCCTGGCATCAGAGCAGGAGGAAACCAAAGCAAACCGCAATTTTCAGGCTGTGGGCTGGAATCATAAGGAAGATTTTCTTGTGGTGTTTTGAAACTGACCAGAGTTTTGGGGTCATGGGCGTTGGCTGTGAGATATTCTCAGGAGGGCGCTTGCCCAGTTGTGCGGGCTCTCTGGCACCAGCGTCCTCATCTGTATGGGGAGGCTGATCCGGCAGCACTTCCCACCTTTGTCGTCAAATGAGAGCTCGGGCTCCGTGGCCTAGGAGGGGGGCACCTGTCTGTCCTCTTGTTCAGGCTGCTCTTCAAACCCACCCTCCTCGGAGTCTCTTCACCATCCTGGGGCTCTTGGACAAATCTGCCTCGGCAGGTTTCTGGACCCTGCCTGCTCGAAACTTGCTACTTACTGGCAGTTTCTCCTGGACCTTTTAGAGGTCCCCACCTTGCAGACCCTCAGTGACTCACTTGCAAGGTAAACTTTGAGAAACACTGTTCTAGAACCCTGGCCCTTCTTTGAGTCTTCCTCAAATGTCGTGCTCTCAAATCTCACACTTCTTTTCCCTTTCGTTTTACTGACATGCAGCCCTTGATTCATCCTCATAGAGAGACTCAGGAAGCTCCAGAAACAACCTGGTGGAGAACTCGCTCAAGATCCTTTCCCGTGCTCTCTGCTCAGCGTCCTGGAGTGAGGCAGCGGTCTCCCCTGCTGAGCTCCCGTGGACTCCTGGGGAAGGCAGGACAAACTGTGCGGCCATCTCTGAAGTGCAGTGAACTAGAAGGTTCCAAAGCACTTATTTAGTCAGGTTCTCCTCTGCCTTCCTCACTCTGAAAAGATGCCTTGTATGCTCAGAGACAGGCCAGCCTGCGTCCCCGTGTCTCCTTCTCCTCGTAGTGACTTTTTTTGCATTACAAATCAGCGGGTATGCCCATAAGCTGTCATTCAGGGAAACTAGATCCTTCCTAGTAGATTCTAATTTGAGCTCTTTTGGTAGGACAAGCCCTGGCGTTCTGATGCAAGACAGACTTTTATTTCAGTAGACGCGCAACTCAGCACAAATATAAGACCCTGAATCTGCTTGTCCCCTCTCATGGGGGTGTGCTAAGACACAGCTTCAATTTTCTCCCCGTCTCAAAATTAAATACAGTGACAACTGGCTTCGTGCTTATAGTGAAAGAGTTTGAGCTCAAGTCCATATGTTACCATGTATTGCAGTCACCATGATGACATGGGGAAATAAAAACTGACACTTATGTCTCCAAACTGTTTGCTAGTTTGACTGTCTTTGTGAACTTGAAGTCAACCAGCACCTGCTACAAATAAGATTAGGGGACATTATTTCACTGATACCCTCAATTACTTTTTTTTATATACCCTCAATTACTTTTCATTTTGTTTTTGGCACACCACCCTTCCTTCCCTGAATCATAATTTAATTTTACATTAAACAGGGCTTCTCCTTTTTCAGTTTTCCCTAGTCAAGGAAATGGAGCTAATCAGTTTTTGTTGCTTCTGAAAATTCAGTTTATTACCACATCTTGATTTCATGGTAGGCTCCACACCACATCTCATTACCCCAGGGAAATCCATGATTCTAAGATTTCCCGCACTGTTCAAAATAAAAATATGACATGAATTATGCATTAGAGTAGATATATTGCATTTTGAAGATTAACCTAACATTAATTGTAAATTTGGAGCATATAACAATCGTAACAAAAGCTAACCTGTTTATCTATGGTAGATTGTTCTTTCACACCCTGACTGACATTGTCATGCTCCTCAGCTTCCTTGCTGACGTAAACAGGTCTTTGTTGCCCGCAGCGCAGTGCCTTTCACGCTGAGCTACAGTGATTTGTTGCACAGTCTTATGTCATCATAATGGTGGTTTTTAAGGCATAGTAAACTCCACTGTTTCACAATTTGGAATCAAATGAGTTTTGCACAATATAGCCTTTAAAAACTGGCCTTCACACACACACACACACACACACACACACACAATCACACTCTTTGGGTGGTGGTAGCAGCTAGGACAACCTCAAAAATGTAGATTTCAGCACCTTGCTAGGAAAGGAAAGTCCTGAGAAATACCTCTCCCTGCTCTGTATTATCTCATCCTAAACTCCCAAATCTGGGACTCTGTAACCAGCAGTGACTTTGAGTTATCAGTAGATTTTCCATAATACTCAGTGGATAATTAATGAAAAGCAGACATAGCCTCATTAGTGCCTCATCAAGAGCAAGACCGTAATCCCAATCACTATGAAGAGGTGTTTTGCTTTGTTTTTTTCCTACTTTCCCTAATGCTGAGGAGGAGGAGAGGAGGTAACAGTTTTTACTCTTTGAAAAATGGTTTGAAAATTGAAAAAGTTTCAGATTGTTATTAGACACTGAAAATCACTATACTAAAGCAAGGGGCCGTTCAATTTGGAGACAGAAGTCTGTTCTTCGGAGCTGTCACCTGCTTCTTCCTTCAAGAGTTAAATGGTGGCTTTGCTGTTCACTTGCCATGTGACCTTGGATGAATTAGCAATTCTCAGGGCTTGAATAGGTTGAGGTGCTTTGATTGATTCACTCAACAAGGGTCCTGTCTATCTTTAAAATTCTAGAAATTTGTAAAGTACGTTCCAAAATTGGGCAAGAAATTGAGTAAGGTGACAGGAGTAGGAAGAATGAAGTGTGCCACCCTGGCTGGCAGGAAGAGCTCCTTCACAGGAGGAAGTTGAACTCAGTGGTCCGTGGTGTGACAGTCCGCCCTGTGGGGCTCTTCCCCCCCTCACATCACCTCACCGACCTGCGACCCTCTCACTGCCTCATTGACTATTGGCACTCAAATCTGGTCTCATGGTTTGCTTCCTGGGGACCCCCAACTAAGATAGTCCTCCAGAGTAGAGCATGGCTTCAGTGGAAAATGCTGAGATGAAGACAATGAGAAAGTCTTGACAGCAACACAAGCCACAACCCCTGCTCCCTGCCTGTGATTTATATTTTCAAACTCCTGTAACGTATAAAAAGTGCTTTTTTAGCTAAAAATGAGGGGGTAGATAAATGGGTAGGGAGGCAGGCTGGCAGAAATGGCCTGTGAGCATGTCAGTTTATAGATCTTTAAAAAAATACATTTCCTTGGGCCTCCCCTGTGGCGCAGCGGTTGAGCCCTGGGCTGCGAGGCTGCCCGCAGCCTCTGCAGCGCTGGTTCAATCCTCGGCCACCAGCGAGGGTCCCACATGGCACGTAGACCTCTTCTGCCGTGCCCCCGCTGCTCCCCTTGGCAGTGTACTTCGTCAGTCTGCCTGTTCTGCTCCCTGTTCCGGCTCTGATGAATCCTCTCACCCTCCCGCGCTTCTGACTGTACTCAGTGCTTATATAAATAAATAAATATATCTTTTAAAAAATACATTTCCCTGTAACAGTTTCACGCTATGTTTCATAAGTATGTGTGGTTGTGTGTGCACACACGTGGTGTGTTTCTCTGAAGGGTGATATATAGGTATGTACATTCTTGAGTTTCTTAAAAAGTAGTTTTCTTTTTTAAAAAAGTCACATGTTTATGAAATTTCAGTCTACTCAAGGAATGCAAACATATCTTCCTCTACTGGCATATTGCTTTATACAAGGCAAATAGTAAAGAATGATGAAGTTGTTTCTTCTGCCCCTTGGGATTGGTCCGGGGAAAGGTGCTTCAGTCTACTGCAAAGTAGTTTGCAGGAGCACAAGGGAAGATCCTGGGGCACTAGTCTACAGATTTTACCTTTTCTTCGTTCCTCAAAGAAGGGTAAGGAGTCCCCACCCCCACCTCCACTCTACCATTCTCAGGAAGCTGTTAGCCATCACTTCTCATTGGCTTCCCCGAGGGACTGAGCTCTCTTGGAGGGAGGGAGGTTTGTCTTCTTCGTCTCTGTATCTCCATCACGTGGCTGGAGTGTGGCATCCAGAAGGCAGTCACCAGCTGGTGACTAGCAGAAGTGTGGGATTTCCTGTCCCAGGAAATTTGGTCACGGGCCTGGACCTTGTGTGGGGTCTGAGGTCTGCCCCCCATTGCTGCCCTCTGCCCTCCCCAATCTGCATGGCCCTGTCTCATGAGCCTTTCCGTGTCCCCAACCCCTGCTGCTGCCTGTGATCAGGCGTGGGGAGGAAAAGATCAGATGGATTGGAGATTTCTAGCCTCCCATCAAGCTGGGATCGGGGATTTCATTGCTGAAAACAAAAGCAGCTCATCATTAGGAGGCGTGATGATGACCTGTAAAATAATTTCATCTTTTTCTCTGGCCACAGACATTAAGGCATGTTTTTGAACTCCTGAGAAAAAGGAAGCTGAAATGAAGTACAAGTCTGTGTGCACAGAGCTCGCCAGGAACCTCTGCACTTCTTTCCAGCTGGTCCTCAGGCAAATTTAGTCCCTGAAACCCCCGACTTTCCATTTTTTATCAATGTGCCACCTCTGGGCAAAAAAATGCTACTGTGTCATTGGCTTTCCCACATCCTTTACATTTTAAAGTTCTTTGTCATTTTAAAGAAGATGAAATAACTTTTGAAGAGCTTTTCTTGCTCTCACGATATTTCTACTAAATGGAGAAATACTGTGGCCTCGGATCCCTTAGAAGATCCTAAATTGCACGACTCAAATCAGTCAATAAACATTAACCTACTTGAGTCAAACCTTTGGAGGTTCAGTTTTTATACCCCAAAGTGCTTACAGTGATTTGTGCTGTGTGTTGCCTAATTGCATGGGGCTAGGCTTCCAGAACCAGCCAAGAGCAGGCACCTCAGTTAAAGCAGAAGGAGATTTATTCTAGAACCCACCTAGCTCACAGCAGCAGCTGGAGGGCTGGGGAGTAGGCTGAAGGCTGCGTCTCTAGCAAGGTCACTCAGACCACGCACTTCAGTCCCTGCGCCCACCCACCCACGCCACATGTCTTATGTCACCTGTATTAGCAGACGGGAGCCCAGTGCCCATCCTGTGCCTACACACAGCTCACCCCCAAGGCACAGTCTTGGGTGGGGGCTACTGATGGCAGGATTTAGGTCACACACTGCATCCCAACTCAAGGGGAGTAAGGAGTCGATTTATTTGTTTTAATCCCTCTGGGGGTAGACCAGGGACCTACTGCAGTGCCGGGTCGCTGTCTACAGCTGCTGGGCAGCCCTGAGTGACAACTGTCTGCTGTGATGATGACTCATGAAAATAGCAGCAGGCAAACTGTGCGAAACAGTTTGGCCTCTACTGTTAAAAAAATAGGGCAAAAGACGGGAAGGAAATAGACAAAAATGTTAATGCTGATCATCTCTGGTGGACTATGGGTAATGAGTTCCCTCTGTTTTATTTTCAAAATTTCCTATAATGAAACTATATTTGCTTGTCAATTAGAAAAAGGGAGATTTTGCCATTTAAGAAAGGAGGATTAGTTCAAATAATTGCTGCCTGGCTAGGTGGATGAAAACTATCTTAAAAGCCCTTGGGGGATTTAATCATCAATCTTCGTTAAGCACATGAGCGCTGAATCAAAATAACAAACAACAAACAAAACAAACAAAAATTAGTCTCCTCTAAGGGAGGCTCAACTCTGTCTCAGCGCCTTTGCCCTTGGCGGGGGGGCAGGAGATGATGAATCCCATTAGAGTTGTGGCATCTTAAGCCAGGAGGCTCCTCAGATAACATTTACCCCAACTTCATTGCATTTATCTTGATTTGAAGTTTTTAAAAATATCAGTACAAACACACATTCATGCACATGTATCTGTTTAACATTTGTCTTCCTCAGTAGACACAAGGACAGAAATTCCAGTCCTGCTGCACTCTAGACACACAGTGTCTAGTGCTTATTCGTGCAGCGTGAAGTGCTGAAGTCCTGCTCACAGGGGAAGTTTTCTCTGGAGTAGATGCAAAGTCTCAGTGCCAGCAGCTGACTGGCCCTCCGTGAGATGTAGTGGCTGCTTGGGATTTGGCTTGCCTCGTTGGGGTACAGGGGACTCCAGGGCTCTGCTTACTGGCCCCTTGAACACTTTTCTTGGTTCCCATCCCTTACTGGACCCAAGAAAATGTGGGTCCTGCTATTTTCCTAGGCCCAACTTTGGAAAGAAAGCCTTACGCCTTCTGTTCTCAGCTCTCCTTCCCATCCTAAGGGTCTGTTCCTCGGCCCCTCTCTGGATCTAGCCTAGGGATATAAACACTTTCCAAGGGCTCAGCAGGTTTTCTTTTGGCTTCCCCTTACTCTGGCGAGAGGGTCCTCTCAGCTAGGGGCAGGGAGGGCACTCACCTACCACTCTAGCTCCCCCCAGAACTTTTGTCTTTGGCCTTGCTTGGTGTCTCCTTTGGAAAACCAGGGATCTGGCTCAATCTCTGCAATTCATGATGTCGTTGTTTCCCTAAAGAATATATGCTGCCTGCGGTGATGGAGAAAAAATGAAAAAGGACATTAGGGAATCTGGGGGAACCTCTGTTGGTTAATATCTCAAAAATATCATCTGGGGCCTCCCTGGTGGCGCATCGCACTATCGATCTATCACTGCAACATGAGTTCAATCCCCGGCCAGGGAGCTGACCCACATGGTGCAGCAGACCTCTCCTGTCTTGCCCCGCGGCTCCCCTCAGCAGTGTATTTCAGTAGATCCGCCTGTCTCTTGTGAATCCTGTCTCTGTCTCTCTCACACACACACCCACATCTCTGGCCTAGCCACATCTCTCACACACCCCAGTTCTTGTATGCATAAATCAATCAATCAATCAATCAATCAGTTTTTGTATGCATAAATAAGTAAATCTTAAAAAAAATCATCTGCCCTTTTGCATGAAGGGTGACCCCATCTCAAGGGAATGAAGCTAGCTGTAATCATCCCCAGATTTCCAGAGTCATTCACCAAAGTTTGTCAGTCCACTATTGATTCTAGAAAGAAAGAATCATGCCACATAGAAAAGAGAACAGAAAGTTCTCTTTTGAGTGAGCCTGCAGGGTCACTTACTTTTGCTGTGGTCAGAAAGTTTCTCCTGAACAGCTGAGCGAGGTTCTGCTAGAACAGGTTCTGGTAGAATGATTATCTGTCATGTTCCTGAGGAGGAGCGACAGGCTGAGTCACCAAGCCAGCCACGAGCTGGAGTCGGTAAGTTTCCATGCAGTCTTGGGCGGCAGGGACCTCAGCAGTAAGTGATATGCAAGGAGAGTTTTCCTCTGTCAGTTCGATGGCATGATTTTAGGTGAAGGGAGGTAGAATGTCTCCGCGTCAGCTAGAGATGATTGTATTAGATATCGCCTGTCTTAATAGCCCTGCTGAGCTATAGGCAAAGTGAGATTTTATGCTTTCTCGTCAGGCTGCCAGACGACTCAGGTAACTAGATGTAAAATCTCGTACTCTGTTGCACAGCAGTTGATGTTTGCATTGGAAAATAAGTATCTTAATGCCTTTAAAAAATTAGCTTTTGTTCCTTCACAGCAAGAGAACATTGCAAGTTTGTATAAAGTTTTATGTTTTCGTGCTTCACCACTGTGACTTTTACAACTACACGTCGGCTGGGGCACAATGAGTGGAAGCAGTAAGAAGATGTTGCTGAGCCTTGCTTGCTGCTATGTAATATTCAGGAGTTACAGAAAAGCATGGCTGCGCATGTCATCTCAAGCCCCTTTTGGTCAATGAACAGAGATGCCCCTCCTAAGAACATGAGGTCATTTTCTGCCTGCGCTTGCTCTGTCTCTCCACAGACAGCGTCACCAAGCAGGCATTTCTCCAAAATTTGCATCATTATCATGTAGGGACCTGGTAGAGGGGGGTTCCTAAAATGCCAGTTTGAAAGTGCCATCGGGAAAGGGAACCCAGTGCTGCCACTTTCTATTGACAAATTAATTGCAGGCACAGTCAGAGACCTGTGAGCGGCAGAGGGTGCCTCTGAGCTCCTGGTGCTGCCTTCCCTGCCAGTGTGGTTGCCCTGAGCTTCCTGGGGTTGCCCTGGGGTGCTTCCTGTGCTTTTTGGGGTGGCCAGTGCCAGCTGAAGCATTAAAACCAACACTTGAATGCTGACCCTAGAGCTGAGGCATCCAGAGGGGGAGAGAAAGGAAGAGGGGATAAGAACTGGGGTAAGGGAGGGGCAAGAAGTGTTGGTTTTAATGTTTATCTTTTTCTGGCCCTTTGGTTTCTCTGTATTCCACATGTAAGTGACCCCATCCAGTGTTTGTCTTTCTCCTTCTGGCCTATTTTTCCTTAGCATTATCCTGTCCAGCTCCATCCAAGTTGCTGCAAATGGCATGAGAAGTGGGGGTGGGAGGAGCACAATCGACTATGGGTGCTTCTGCGGTGGGAGCTCTATGGCGACCACGCCTGAAGGCAGCAGCATTGTATTGTCAATAATATACTGTCAAGGGCCTCCCTGGTGGTGCAAGGGGTTCAGACACAACCTATGAAGCTGTCCGCAGCCACTGCAGCATGAGTTTGATCCCCCGGCTGTCCAGGGAGCAACCCACATGGTGCAGCAGACCTCTCCTGCCTCACCCGCTGCTCCCCTCAGCAGTGTATTTCAGTCAGTCTGCCTGTTTCTGTCCCCCACTCTGTCTCTGGTGAATCCTCTCACCCCCTGCACCTCTGGCCTGTACCCCAGTTCTTGTATGTGTAAATAAATAAATCTTTAAAAAAAAATACTGTCAAACTATTAACAAGAATGCAAACAATAGTACTTCATTAAATAAGTAAATAAAATGAAGAACAGAATGTGAAAGGACTCGAGCTTTAGAAAAACTGATTTCCTAATGATGGTCATCTTGGAGTGAAGGTTTTCCTCATGAGATTTTGGAGAATGGAAGCTTTTATTGGTCAGAGAAAAAAACCAAATGTCAGCCTACACCAGATTAGGATAAGGACTCTTTTCTGTGTTTTCCTATTTAAGATCTCAGCTTCTAGGAGCGATGGTCTGACTTAGAAATTTTTGTGAACTTTTAACCACTAAGAAATGGGATGAGTGAAAATTGCACAATACGGTGCTATTGCAATATTGAAGACTCTAGGCCTTCATCTCAAAAAAAAAACCAAGTTCCATCTCTGGTGGTATCTGAGGAAACTCTTCTCCTTTTACAGTGAAACAACTAGCAAGAAAGTTCTGTCTGAACAAATGAAAAGTGTATGATGCAATCAGTTTTTTAGGAGTGGTCGGGGCCTCCTATCTAGTGTGTTTGAGTTGGTACTTGGTTAAAATAGAGGGAAAAAAGTTAAATGAAATGAATAACAAAACCATTTTCATCAGCTGAAAACATATCGTTGCACATCTTCTCTGAGGTTTTGATATTCAGCCAACTTCTAATGTCCTCTGATTAGAGGCCCTTCATCTTTTTTGCATATACTACACCCACAAGATATTAAATTTTACCTCCTTTGAGGTGGAATGAGAATCTGATTTCAATGCAAGCTGAATTCAGAAGATGAGAGTTTTACAATTTAAAGCAACATTTTAGAGTTCTTGTCAATTATGTTGTTTTTGTTTTTTTTGCAACTTATCACTCTCAAGTTTTTTGGTAAGCATCTGAATCAGTTTTCCTAGCAAAGATCTTTTACACTCATCCTTCATCAGTTTGTCACATTTAAGTCACGAATTTACAGCAATGAGCACAACTGGCATAAACAAGGTTGGGAGGAAACACAGAGACTCGGGTAAGCACATCTCAGCTGGAGGGTGAAGTTCGTGGCATGCCTGAGAGCACCACTAGCCGGAAGCATCCCCACGCATCATGCATCACCTGCTTAATCAATGAGTTGGCTAACGGGCCTTTGATTAAGAGTTTCTACTATAAATACATTTTCATTAATATGCACAGGTAGTAACTCTTAGGGAACATGTTTGTGAAATGTTTTCTACTCCGGGTCCTACGCCTTAATGAACAGCAAAAGCTCACTTACAATCAGCAGACTCTGTCAGCACACGTAATGCATCTCTCAAGGGCTTTTCCTGGCAGCCTCGTTTGTACCATTGCACATAATTGTTTCGTTCATCAGGCTCTTTTTTTCTTAGATGGGAGGGGGGAATGTTTTGGTCCACTCCTCACTGTGTTACCACCATTTTTAAATTACTAATTTGGAAATTTAAAGACCTTGTGTCCATTGAGATCCTAAATAATCTGTTAATATTTTTCAATGTTTTCTCTTCTCCTAAATAATGGTAGCAAGAAAGTATGATATGCTGAGGGTAGTTTTGAAAATAGATTTTATTTTTTATTCCTATGGATATTAAATTAATAGGGTTGGAAAATTTTAGAGCTGAGAGACAGAATCATGAGGCAGAGAGAGTCAAAGAGGGAAAGAGGTAGATAGGAACACCGAATATGAGATTTTTATTATATTATATTATAATTATATATTATATCATGTTAATTATCTTCACACACATAAATGCAGACAGAGACAAAGAGACACAGAGAGGTAGAGAAGATGCCAAGATAGTAATAGAGAAATAGAAAGGCAGACACAAATGGATGAAGAAAGAGTAAACAGGCAGGATCAGAGACGACAGGAGAGAAACAAACCGAGACACCTGGACAGACAGGACAAGCCATCCAGCATTGGTGCTCAAGATTAGCCCCACCTCTTCCCTGTTTGACTAAAACTGCCCAGTGCCAAGGTGCGGAGTCAGCGGCCTTGGGGAGCTGTGTCACTGAGCAGGACAGGGAGGCAGACGGACCCCCGGGAGACACAGTGTCATAGCAGGCAGTGCCAGACCTGCAAGGGGTCACAGCCTGGACATTGATTAGGTGACCCCGCACCACTTGTTCGTCTCTGTTCGTGTGTGTTCTCCAGCTCTAGATGAATGTATTTACATTTTTTTCCCCCTTTGGCTGCAGAAAGGTCCTAAAGGAAATCTGCATTGGAGAACTCAATCCAAATGAGACTGTGCAGGCCAGTTTGGAGGCCCAGCTCCTTTCCAAGCTGGACCACCCAGCCATTGTCAAGTTCCACGCCAGCTTTGTGGAGCAAGATAACTTCTGCATTATCACCGAGTACTGTGAGGTGAGACTCTCCTTATCGTTTGGAAATCTTAATAAAATTCTGTTTTGCTCTAGAAAGCTTTCTATAAAGAGACCTCTCAAAATTTCAATAACAAACCACAGACTGAACTTTAACCACCTGGACTCAGGTGTCTTGCAGCTAAGAGTGAACGTCTCCAAGTAACTGACAAACTCATTGCTAATAATGGCCGCCTCCCCTTTGGCAAACTCACAGTGAACATATTTTAGGGAGAAATTGGCGCAGAAAACTTCAATGCCTGGGTGGAGGCGTCCCCCAGATCTTCTGCAATGTCCTATGCTTAGGTAGACATTTAAATACCATAACGGAGACCTGAGTAGAGAGACCGCTCCTGAGTTCAGGGTTCTAGTGCTGTGGCTCGTTTTCTCCATGGACATGCTTCACATTTATCAATTTGTGATTTTTGGCTTCAGGTGTTTTCAATGTTCGCCATGACCCATGTTCTGTTCAAGTAAAAGCTGTGCGCTTTACTAAGTTCAAATGCCTGGAAAGGTGCCAGCAGGGAAATCAACAAGGTGCAGCTGATCTGGATCTGAGGGTCTAGGGAAAGGAGAGTCAGAGGCTTGGGTCAGGCAGAGCATACCTGAAGATGGTCTTACTCAAATCTCTCAGAACATTCTTACCCAGTGCACCTTGGGAGAATTTGGTACTATTCATACTTAAGAGTAAAATTAGCTTATCACCTGGGTGCTGCTGGGAGGACGAAGAGGATTTTTAGAGTGGAAGGTAGGTCTTTTTGGATCAGAAACTCTGGACCAGCAGAGGGTGTCATGTGTTTGAGAAGCAGAAGAGGCGTGATGAGAAGCTGCTGTAGTGAAGGGGTTTGCCTAATAAGGAAGACTGCCCTTGCCTGCCTTCCCATGAGCTGGTGTGTCATCCACAGTGAAACCAGCCGCCAGGCTAAAATTTCTGAGAATCTGGAATATTCCAAGTTGTAACCAGTCCCCTTCAGGTTAGCCTCCCCAGCTCATTCTTGCTAGATGTTTCCCCATCCAGAGTTTGCCCCTCCTCTGCTTGGAGAAAAGTGAGGGGAACCAAAAAAAGAACCAGGGCACTAGGGTGTCTGCTCCTCCTCACCGGGTAGGTCGTGAAGGAAGTAAATAAAATGACAAGGTGTGCAGTGGGGTAACGCTGAACAGCAGCTACCCTGGCAATTAGATCACCAATCCATGTAAAACCACAGGTATTTACATATGCGGCTGCGGGGTGATCCATCTGCTGTCATTTAGTGATTTTCCTTCCTTCTGTCCCATTCACTTAATCTAATTTGGGAGACAACTGCTTCCTGCTGCTCCTGACTGTTACCGCCACCTCTGCTGCTGCTGCTTTTGATTCACTGAATTATCCAAAGACTTCCGTTGTCTTAAAGTATTTTCCACTGTACTGTCCATAGAACTTCCTGTGATGATGCAGACTTTGTGGATTTGTGTTGTTCGGTACAGAAGCCACCAGTCACACATGCCTCTGAAGCACTTGAAGTGTGATTGAAAAGCTGGAGGGTAAATTTTATTTAATTAGTTGAAATTTAAATAACCACATGGGGCTAGTGGCCTCTGTATTGGGCAGGCTTAGATGATAAACTAGAACTTTCTGTTCCTGCATTCATTTTGTCCGTTTTTGTTTTTAATGTAATTTTAAGCTCCCAGAAAAGTAAACAGTTACACAATGAACCCCCATTTATCCTTTGTGCAGATTTGCCAACTGTTATCATTTTTCCAAATTTGCTTTAGCATCTATTCATCTTATCTATCCACTTATCCCTCTGTCTGCTACCTACATCTTTCCTTTTTTTCCTGAACCATTTGCCCCTTTGTCCTAACTGCTACTGTCAGGATTTCCTAAAGCCAAGGGCATTTTCTTACATAACCAGCGTAGAGGGATAAAAATCAGGGAATCACTGTCGATACAATGCTAAGATGTGTTGTTAGTTCTCAAAAGTGTGAACCCAGACCAGCAGCACCAGCGTGACTTGGGAACTTGTTAGCAAGACAGATTCCCCGCGTCCACCTCAGCCACACCAAGTCACAAATTCTGGGGGTGGGATTAGGCCACCTGTGTTTTGACATGGGCACCAGGTGAGTCTAAATCACACAGAAGTCTGAGAATCATCCGTCTGACTCTCAATCCATATTCAAATTTAGCCCTTTCCTCCCAGTCGTGTCCTTAGAAAGGACACTTCTACAGGAATGTTTTTTTTTCTCACACAGGATCCAATCTAGGATCATCTGCGTTAATTTTAAAATGATGCTGGTTTCCAGGGAATGAGCTGCGCTCTGGAAGGGGGGTGTTGCCATGGCGACGCTGCTGGCAGGGCCAGGGAACAGCTGCGGGGCTTCCTGGGCCCAGCTGTCAGGTGGCTGCTGCCCTGACTCCAGAGTGATGCCTGTGATGGCTCCGTGAATGTCTCAGAGATGGTTCTCACCCTCAGGCCCAAATGTGTGGGTAACTTGCAAAAGCCTGGCCTTAGCCCCTTATTTATCATGGTAAAATAATAATATTGGAAATGGCAAATGGCCAAAGTTGCACGTCATAGGAAGATGCTGTTACCTTTGAAGTAGCTGGGCTTTTCAAGCTCCTCTGCTGTAATTTAACATGGGCCTTGCAAGATGGACGTATTCAGGAGGCATATACATCCACCACCCAGCCTTGGATACAGCAGATTATGCGCGTGAAAGCAAATAGCAAACTCACATCTGTCAAGATCTAACGCAGGCTGTGCAGGGGGTCAGTCCCCAAACTCCCAGCGTGGCAGGATATTTCAGCTGTTGGCATCTTCTCTTCTCCTCTGCCCAGGGGAGGTGGGGCTACTTGTTGCTCCCTGTCTGTGCCCACAGCTGCACACCTCTTCATCTGTGCCTGTGCCATCTCCTCAGCAAGCTCTTCCTGCTTGCCCCCCTCATCTTCAAGTCCTGCCCATCTCCCCAGACTCAACTGAGATGCCATCTCCTCTACAGAGGCTCCCACCACCTCATGGCCTGAAACTGCTCACCACCCGACCCCCTCACCCAACTCTCCTGGCATTTTGTCTTGAGGGACACTCAGACATTGCACATAGTAGAATAAAAACCATCCCAGACACTCAGTGTGGGGGATTGAAATTTTTCTGATTTATTTTTGAATCACATCACAGACCTATGTAGTGAACCACAAAGAAATTAGCACTTAGGAAATTTTGTGTGTGTGATGATAATGACAAATTCTTCACCACTCGCTTCTAGCTGCCTCCCACCTCATTTCTGTCAAACACTAATGGTAAAAGGTAAAATTCTGGCTCTTTCTACCTGTCATATATGTCAAAAGCATTTTGTTCTACCTTATTTTGCTGGGACACTGAACAGCATAGTAGAGACTGTGGGCTCCCACCTGAGGTTTTCTATTGGGGGAGGATAAGGCCTCCCCAGAGACCTGGGCCTTCAGTTAATCACACAGCTGACTGTCAGAGTGAAAAGCAGGAAGGTTGGCCTTGTCTGTTTCCTGGTCAGTGATAGTAAGTTAGCTATGACAATTCTTTCAGTATAATAGTGCTGGGCTGTAACTGCATGATAGAATTGCCTGAGCGCTTTCAAAAATCCTGAGGCCTGACACCCACATCCAGGAAGTCTTTTTTAATGTGATGATGATGACATTCATTGTTTTCTGTCCGGAGGACACGAGATAGGCTTTGAAACGGTAGAACATGTGTGTGGACTTTGGCATCACTTTGATTTCTGTTCAAATCATGGTCCGTTTCCTCCAGCAAGTGGTTTCATTTCTCCCAGCCTTTTCCTGGCCTTTTGTTTAGTTTTCACAGGGGTTGGAAATGATGAGATGTTCTAAGAGTGACCAGAGCTTTGCTTCCTATAGCAACCCATCGAGAACAGATGTTGTCATTATAATGGTTCATGATTTCACTGCGCCCTCCACCCATCTAGAAAGCAAGTTCATTTTTACCTCTGAGTTTTTGGCTTGCAGCCTTTAGGATGAAGATTCACGCCAGAAGGAGGAAACATTTAAATTCTTAAACACTAATGGGTTTGATAGCAACTTGCAGGCAAGTGCTTTCCAAGGATCTGTTTGTACTGTAAAAATTTGGACTTTTCTCATATGTTTCTCATTTATGCAAAACTGCTTAAATAAACCAAGTAAGTGGGTTGATTTTATAATTTTGAAATACTAGTGGATGTCAAGAGTAGAATCTTGCAAGTGAATTTGGCAATCACACCAGGCTTGCTAGCTCTCAGAGGGTCCTGTAACTTCACAGCGATGTGCTGGGTCTACTAAACCTCCCCCTTCCTTCCAAGTCACTGTTTGTAGTCCTGGACTTCCGTCTGGGGCCATTGCCATCCAGAATTGGTTATTTATGGATGAGGGCCACTCCAGGAATCAATGTCATTGTGACATTGATTAGGGACCACATAATCTTAGCCCCTTCAGGCTGCTCTAGCAGAATATCATAGATTGGATGACTTGTACAGGACAGAAATTTATTTCTTACAGTTGTGGAAGCTGAAGAGTCTAAGGTGAAGGTGCCAGAAAATTCAGTGTTTATTGAGAACTCTAATTCTGGTTCACAGGCAGCTGCCTTTCTGCTGTGTCCTCACGTGGCAGGTGGGAGGGAGCATGGGGGTCTCCTTTACTAACGAATATGTTCATTATTACTAATCATTGCATTACACATTAGTAATTAATATAGCTATAACATTTCATTATTATTAATGAATACATTGCATTATGGGTGCTTTGGTGGTAAGACATTGGTGCTAACATACATCTGAACAGGTGTGATCTTACACCCCTAGATCATTTACAGTGTTATAAACCAACGTTACCTCAATACAATACAATTCATAGAAAATTAAAAAAGCAAGTAAAGGCACTAATCCCATCCACGAGAGGGTTACTCGTATGATGAATCACCCTCCAGACTCCCACCCATGAGACCATCACACAGGAGAGTGGGATCTGGACATGGGCACTTGGGTGGGTCAGAGCCATTCAGTCTG